GGGATCAATGCAGGAGGAGTGTTTCGACAGAGGGTCTCTTCCTCTTTGCTAGTGAAACACCGTACAATTGCGCGCAATTCAAAACCTTCCATGAGAAGCCTTCGACAGATTACAGCATCCAGTTTCAATAGCTTTGTCCGTCACGACGTAGAATGGAGCGACGCGTAGAGAAAGCGAAAGGGCGCGCGGGAATGGCGAAGAACGAGCCCTTGCGCGTTCGCTGTTTCAAAGGGGTGGAAGTGCTTGGTGTACTTTTTGACGTCTGCTTCTCATATGGAAGTGCTTTCGAGCATTCGGTGTCGTAAAAACCTAGTCGTAGCAATGAGGATCGTGAAAAAGCGGACGTTGTGTCGACGTCTGTCTCCCCAGTGCCGCTTGTGCTTGTGATTATACCTTTCTTTCTCGCTCTTGTTCTTTCTTTTTTTTCCATTTGCTTTCGGCCCACTATACAGACATTACGATCTGTCCTTTCGTTTTGCCGACTCGCTTGTTCGCAGAGCTCGCTCGTTAGCGAGAACAACTTGCTAGTAACTGAATATCAGTCGCCAATGTTTGAGTTAAGGAAAGGTTGCTTCGACGCCTTGCAATCAAGACAGTTCGTAGCCCGTGGCAGGGATGGACAAAGTTACCATTAAATATAAGTTTTGAATAACGAACAAGGGGTAAACTTGTTTTTATTCCTTACTCGTGGAAAAAGAATTAAAGCATATTATGCAATTAAGGGGCTTTCTGGTATCTGGTATTTCTTTCTAGCATCCTTCTGGTGAAAAATTAAACAAGTTTTTGGAATTTTTTTCGAAGTTTATAAAATAAAGAACGATTCCAATTTCTTCTATTAATAATACTATTTAGTGAGAGTGTTAAAATATTTTTGTAAGACTTTTATTTTATGTATGGCTTTTACATTTAATGTTATATGTTATATTATTTTTGAATTCAGAAATACATAGCTTTCGAGAGTAAAAATACATGTCGAAACGTTGCATGAATGAAACGTGTCTATATGAATTGTTCTAAATATTTTAAAACTTTGCACAGAGAGATGTTAAAATGCAGTTTCGTTGTGTATATTTGAAAATATTTTAAAATACATAAAATATTTGAAATATGAAATTTTAATTCTGCTCTCCTTTTGAGGAACGAACAATTATTTGTAAATAATTCTTGTTTGTTGGTTAGATAGATCAGTCGATATCTATGTATATACTTTTGTAATTATCGTCCATACTAAAAGTATAATTATTCATTAATGTTTAACCATATTTTTAAATGATTAAAATTAAAAACTGTTAAAAAGTGTTAAAAGAATTTTAATTTTCGCCATATTGTTTCTTTTCAATCAGTGGTGTTTGATTCTAGTACCCATGGTAGCGAGAAAACCATATAATAATAATCTTTTTCATTCTTTGGTTTCGGACGATCCAATGACAAGCTATCGTGTCAACCGTGAGAAAAAAGGACAAATTCCATGTGCCTATAACAACTAAAAAAAATTATTAAAAGTAAACAAGAACAATTTTTTTTATTAGTTTAACATTTCATTTAATTCATAAAAGAGGTTTTGGAATATACGACCGACAGGAATCAATCGGCACCTGATATGCTGGACGCGTGAAAGGATGTTTACGAATGAAGTGAAGTCTCTGCATAATCCCATATCTCTGTACAATAATTCATTCAGCAGAATGAAATGTAGCACTGTTTTAGGAATGAAATACCTTCAGGCTGTTCACTTCCGGTGCTTTTACTTCAGTTCAATTTGAGGACTAAGTACACTTACATAGCAGTAATCCATTTCTGTTCGAACCAGCTGTTTCGTCTGGTCCACTGATATCCCAGTTGTTCGCAAAACAATGAAGGAATATGTCGTTCCTCTCCGCATGCGTGGTTCTAGTTTCGTGTATCGTGGTGAGGAGAATATATGCATGTAAAGCGTCGTTTCTCGTTTCTCGTTACCGCTTGCTTTCGAACTTCGACAATTTACCGCGTGGCTAACTTTAGTCCGTTATCAGCAGCGTGTGTGCTATATGAGAATCTGGCAGAAGTCAGCGGTGGTCTATCAAATCAAGATCCACTCGCCTCGCAAGAGTATCAAGTCACTGCTCATTAGCGACGTAAGCGCTGCTTCTTAACCCAGATCAACGATACGACGGATTGTGGTCGTAACACGCGAGGATCACCCGAAATTAATGAAGACTGGTCTAGGAAATTGTTACCGTCTAGCGGGTATAACCTCCTCAACCCTTTATTGCCAATGTACTATGTCGCTCGAACATAATACAAGTTGCCCGCTACGTTGTCGGTCTTGGTTTACGTTTAAAAGCTACGTTGCCATGTTAACGTACCCCAAAAGTGTATGTTTGTAAATCCTTGATGGTATGTAATTCAAGTAGCTTGGTAAATTGCTTTTCTCAGAATTGTAATTAATTATAATTGTAAGAACATTGTTGGCTCTTCCAGTACTATATTAAATTTAATTATTTTTTTATTATTTTGTGTGTGTTCTGTTACAAATATTTGATTTTTAATCTATATTTCTTACAACTTTTCAATCTCTTATATATATTCGGTTTTCATTAGAACAATATTCATGATCTCGCCCAGACCAAACTCATTTAACGTTTATTTTTCAATTGTATTTTTAAATAATTATTCTTCGTTATGTACTGTAGTCTTTTCATTACTTAGGTCGATTAAACAGAATGGACTCTAAATGTAAATGAAATCTTGTTTGCACGAGAGACTGAGATTTCTCTCTTCAGTCAGTCTTTCTTCATATAATTAATTAATTTCTTATATATAATAAAATATTTTCCGATCAACCGTTAGCATGATTATATGTATGTACATATAATTGACTCAAGTCCGATGAAGAAGTCTTCCCGATTCTGTACTTTGAAGAATGTCGTATTTGAGAACTTTTGTTAAGCAAAGGAAAGGTTTGAAGTTTTTAATTACTTCACAGGGTTCTACAGTTTTAAAAATTATATTCACTCTTTAGAGGAAACTTTAATTCATTCTTTGAAACATGTTAAATTTACATTCCGTTTAAAAATTACTTTACACCGGGAATAAGTCAGTAAATATCATGTATTAATAGAAATGCACGAGTATGTTACGTTCCCGTTTCCAAATTTCCTTATTTGGAGTTGGATGTGTGTACCCGGTATTAGTCAACGATACATTTTTACTTCAGGAAGAAAGTAATAAAATTGACATTCCATTGCCAATAAATATTTTTGACATTATAATTAAGATACACATTATAATTGTTTAATTCTAATCAATATATTATCACCCAAATGAACGTATAAAATTACATGTTATATATCAAAACTCTTCACATCAAATTTGTAACTCCTCATTTAACACGTATTAAATTGAAGGATAATTTGTTATTTGAGAAATAAATTAGTAAACATAATTTTCCGTTGTCAATAAATATTTTAAATATTAAAATTCATACAAACATTACAATCGTTTAATTTTGTTAGCTTGATTGCCTCCCAAACATAAAATCACTCAAAGAGTATTTTTTTGTTCACCCACAGAAAAGAATTCATGTTTAAGGAAAGATAAAGGAAGTTGACTTCGAGCAGTATTAAATCCAACACTGTGTTCCAATCCATCCTTTAAAAGTTGTATCTTTGACATGAAAATTGGTTCCTCAACTCGTGCATAAAATAGCAAGGCAAGCTTTAAAGTCCTTCTTCAAGTAGACTAGAAAGAAAGCATGTCGCGTGAAGTGTAAGTAACTCGATACCCAGGATAACAGGAATTTTCGCGTGTTCCCGCTCAAGGGGTTGATTCAAGCAAGAGGGAGGGTTCGTGCAGACATGGACAGGGTGAAACGAGATGCGAGAGGCATTATCAAGCCTCGTTGTGACACGCACTTGCCTCGTGGGCCATAGAATGTGCGCAAAGAGTTTCCTGGCCTTCGAGGAGTGCGAACGAACGCCTATTGGCTCGTGACATTTTTATATATCTGTATTCGAACACTTTCGTTCCAGCACGTCTGCACAAGAAGACCATGGAAGTCTTCTTCATTCATTATAGTGACATTTGAAAAATAGAAAATTGTACATGGAATTAAGCTGACTAGAAAATAAAAATTCCATAATAGTAAGTTTTCGAAGTTTTTGATTATGTACCTGTATGTTATTATTTATGTTTATGTATCATTGTTTGGCCTTCATCGTGTATTTCATACATAAACAAGACAAATATTAGGACGTTTTGGTATATTTGCGGAGAATGTGCTATATTCCACTGTAACTTCTGCATATCTTAACTTCCTTTGGTGATAATGGTTAGATTATTTTGAATGTAATTTAATTGTTCAATTTCTGTTTTCATTTGGATGGATTCGTTACTTTTGTCACAACTAAGCACTTTTTCTGTATCTTACTAATGTTATTTATAATCAAATGAATATCTGTATAACTGAATATCTGAGTTTTTACGAGTACTTTTAATACTTTCACAAGGTTTCTAAATACTTTTAAACAAAATGTTTATCAAATATATATTTGACAGAAAAAGACCCAACTCTTCATAAAATGATAAATAAACTCTTCCTGGAGAGGATCCACTACAAAACGCGAGCTTGTTTAATATTTCTTTTAATTATATCTCATACCTTCAAGACAAACACAAAGATTCTACACTCTCATACGAAAGAAAATACTGTATTTACAAATATACTACTGAAACATGATCACCATGAGTGACTACTATTACCGATCCTATAATAGAAATTTAAGTTTCTGTTGGACAAGTATCATTTCACCCAAGAAAAAATAAGCAAATCGAAGATAATAACTGAAGATTTTAATACGAAACCCAATTATATCCATGCCTCAATATACTATTAAAATCTACTAATTAAAGCAACAACAAAAATTTGTTATTCCCCGTAAAATCTTCATGTCTTCATATAATCAGATCTTTCAGCAGAGTTTTCAATTAGGTCATGAACGATGTTTAAAAGTTGCACTTACTTGTCCGGGAGTAGCACAGAGCTGAAGTTAATTGCAATGGACATCCGAGGACCGGAAGTAATTAAGTACAGACACCGGATGTTCGGAGGATATAGGCCAGGATATCCGGGACTCGCTAGTACGCATCCATCGTGGCAGTCGGTGTCTTCGTACACCCAGTCGCATTCTGCAAACACGCAAAAGTGTGCATATGTTAATTATACCCAGCAACATAGAAATTGAGCTTTTAAAGAAACTTGTTCCGAGTCAGCAACACAAAAGAACACGCACAAATAATTTCTGCAGGCAACGTGTGCGCATATTCAATATGTAACGTTGCATTAACGGAATGCACTATCGAGTTTCCCCAATGCTCGGGATGAACAACAGAGTGACGTTTCTGGAACGGCTTATATCTACTTCGTGACACAGCACTATGCTGAGAGCAGATGCACTTTAAAGCTAATTCAAAGTCCACCGATTTGGAAAGATATACAAATATTTTTTCAGCGTATTCGCGGGCTAATTTCAAGTGAAAGTCATCGTATCGATCCAACTCTTAAACGTATTGGAATATGAAAAGTATTATGGGGAAAGAATAAATAAAAATAAAATAAGTCCAGAAGGAAAATTGAGTGAAGAAAAAAACATGTTTCCTTATAATATAATTTTTTACAATTATTGAAAAACTCCAATCCAGTAATATCTTCAAGCGGATATTATTATAATTACTATTAACTGGAGAACACTTTGATATAGAATATCTAATTCAAGGTACATGTACAAAATAAGAAAAGTATAAGGTAAAATAAAAGAAATAAAGATAGAAGGGATAAAATTATGCATAATATCATATAATATAGTAGAAAACGGGAATTTAGTATAAAAAACTGTCACTATTAAGAATTTAAAAAAATCCTAAACTATAGCAAATATATTTTAGAATCTTATATTAAAAATTATTAATCTTTACATTTTTGGCACGTTATATTGCTGACAGTATTATTTATTTCCTAGTATGACAATAAAAAACTCTCATAATTATGAAGATTTGAAGAAGTGTTCCGCTAATTTTGTCCAGCAGTTTATATTGTATATCGACAGATAGTAAGTATTTTTTTGTCTAGAAGTGGCATCATTGTAGGATTAAATCACTCGTACCTAGTTGTATGATTAAGAATCAGGTCTAGACCGATCTGAAATTATAGTTCTCACGCGAAATTAGTTTTCCAGTGTTTCGAGAAAGTGTATTTGCGTATTACTTGGTGTATTCTGAAGTTGTATAGCGAAAAGCTCGTCGACGCAAACCGAAATCTACCGGCAATCACAGGGAAATATAAGACAAAAGGTGGCCTCAAATAAAGACTTGTCTCGCTGTGCCGGACATGCAATTAAAATTTGTGGGACACGGCGTGAAACATCACAGTGCGTTCGGTGTAAGCTTCCCAGCATGCCGATATCAGTTCGAGATTTAATGTCTCGCAAGAGTGCAGATTTTACGGGTAAGTTATGGAGCAAGACTGGTGCTAGCTCGACGCCCATCGATAGTTAAAATGGGCCACGATGATTGAAAAAAAAAAGAAAACAAGAACAGCACCGCTCGAGCCTAGAACGTGAATTACGGCTTTATATCTTGATACCTGAAACTGTTGCGTTCGTTGAAGAACAAGTCGTGATTAAGGAATCTCTTTAATCTCTTCAGACATGATTTCTTTATAGGGAAAGAAATTATTTTTAAATGGATACATATTAAGTTATTCGGGAATATTACTTTCTTTACATTTAATAACGGGAATTCAAAATATTAATACATAGAAACAATCATTAACAGTGCTGAACCTGTTAAATATTTTATTTTTTAATCTGAATGTTAATGTGCATTACAATGTAGATTAGATCTGAAGAGGTTTCCTGGGAGATAAAGAAAATTGATTGTCTTAAATGTTCCAAACCTTAGAAACAACATTTTGAAATGATTTAATATGAGATTTGTAAAGAAGTGGGACTTTGGAATAGACTCTCTGTATACTCTAATATTATAAGAAAATAATACTAGAATTATTTTATTTTATGTAATACAATGCAACAAGAACGAAGAAATAACGCGAGCGTAGAAAAGGCTGGAATGTTCTTTGAACAAATGAAAATAAGACAGACGTAATTGAATGATGGCATTGGACTATGAGCGACATAGTACCGAGTATATCGTGATAACAAACACACTACTAAAATTAACAAATGAATTTCTCCCGCTCATGTTTCATCGACAACCCTTTCATTTTCTCAATGGTTATCAAAGACAAATAGAAAAAAATAACTTCTCTTTTAAAATGTCCATTTGAGAAACGCGTCGAGACACGTCTGACTTGTCATTGAGTCCTGAACAACGATTGAGAATCCCTGACCAGATGTATAAATCAATTTGACAGCGGAAAGAACCGTAATACCGCATGAAAAAGTAATTTTCTCTCCCTTTTTTCCCGGCTTTACCTTGTCCCGATATTGGAAAATCACAATATTGATACACGACGACGGCGATCGTTGTTTCAATATTTTTGCAACGAGCATATCGTGACTTGAATGTTTAACAGATCGCAGCGGCGTGCTCGACACGAACCGTCGATGTGCTTTCTCTCCATCGTCGGGTTCAGCAGGCATTTTTCACCACGTAAAAGGATAAATAAGAGAGTGTTTCAGCCTCCAATTTTATGAACATTCAAATTCTGGTATCCCAATACAGTTTAATATGAAATTAATAATACAAAAGTCCAAATTTCAACGTTTGCAGCATCAGATATGACCACATTTTCAAACATTCACATTTACTTAGTAGTAAACGGGGCATTACACGTTATAATTTCTACGTAAAATTTGAACTCTTTCGGTACATTTTTCTCCGCTATGCCTTATCCGATCGTGCTTCGACCTTTTTTCAGGTTGTTCTACAAAGTCAAAACTACAAAACAGCGCTGAGTTTGTTTAAAAAAAACATTTCTAAAAAAAGAAAACAGGACGACAACAACACGAATCACACGACTTTTGACTAATGTCAAGAATGTGAACATTTTTGTTTAGAAACATTTTTTTTGCCATTTCTAACTATCGAAAAATTATCCAATTAACATCAATAGAACCGGAAAAGGTTCAATTTTAATAAGAAAAGGTAAACAAAAAATCGATTTTTTTTTCGAAAAAATGTGTAGTGCCTCCCTCAATATAAAAATAATAATAAAATTGAGGAATAAAAGAAACTTTTTATACATTTTTAGGTATATAATCATAATTTAAATAAATAGTAATGTAATTGTGTAATATAACATGGAAGTGATACATATGTATATGGCATTTTTCTGATTGTTCTCTCCTCTTCAACGTGTTTTTCTATCTGAAGAGAGAACACATACTCCTAGTCAAAACGTTGTCAGTATAAATTCCCAAAAGTTGTGCAATTTATTATTGCTTTCAAGACCAACATTTTCTTTTATTTCATAGACACTTTGCACCATTTATGTAACCAAACGCTCACATGTTCAAACATAATTTTTGGAAACTTCTGATAAATAAATTAAATCACTTAATCAGTATATCTTTTGCTATCATTTAAAACATTAAATTCCTCAAATTTGCACTCAATGTAGATAGCTATGGAGATGCAGACGTTTGTTTCTATTGCACGAAAGGACAATTCATGATGTACGTGGTTTTCCTGGTCCTTTTCTCCTGAACGGCGAAAGAATGGAAGCATATCGTTGTCACGCTTCGTGTTCGCTCTCTCTTTCTCTCCTGTTTTTTGTTTAGTTTTATATATCCGGCAGATGCAATTGTCATAATGGGTGGAGCCATTAGAGATGGGACGCGTCCTGCTAGCGGTGCGCGGCCTCTCTGAATTTATATAATGCCTTTCGCGTCTCCGAAAGTCTTTTTTCTCCACTCTTTAGCATATTTTTTTTTTACACTCGTGCCCACCCTTTCGGCCTCCTGCACTGAATATCGCGCTCGTTCTTTTTCCACCTAATTGTTCGCGTCCCGAAGGCGCTTAATTCCATTTTTCTTCTCGATTTTCTTTGTCTTTTTTAAAATTTTCCTCTCGCGACTGAACTCGTCCTCGTAATTGAGTGGATCGTCTACGTTTACTTTTGTTGCTGCATTTCTATGAAATTGTACGCAAAACTTGAAAGAACTGATTATAAAGATAAGGTATTATTTTACTTCTCGCACATCGAAGTAAAGTCTTATTTCATACTTTTTAGTGCAATTTTAATATTTCTTCGAAGTCGGTTATATTTTTTATCAAAAAATTATTTTATTTCACCCTTTTTAGAGGCAATTTATAACCAATAGGTTTCATGCGATACCAATAGTTATGAGCAATATACAGGATGTTCCAAAAATGTTGGAGGTCAAAAATCAAACTGATTCTCACTCAGAAAGGATATAACTTTCGAAAAATGCAATAAAAGAAAATAGATTTTTCGATTGTCTAATCCCCTTAAGATAATCAATTTAATTTTGGCTATGCTACACTTCTTTTTCATTTCTATAAAAAAATATCTGTTTCATTTATAAAAAAAATTAAATTATACTTATAAATAAAACATAATGATGATTGTAGAATTAGGACGGTTTTGTTCGAATTTACAGCGGCCAGGTTCCTTCTTATCGAAAGGAGAACTATTGAAGATTTTTGCATACACGTGCTTCTTTTTGTTGCTCGCGTTAGAATAAGAAACCGACGGCACGCGTGAGTTCTAGGTGGTCCTTGTTATAGTTGGGAGTGCGCAATTGACTCGCACCAGTTCATTTCGATGTAACTCGAACAATATCTCTTTTTAACCTTCTTTAAATTCATGGAATGAATAGTTTTTCTAATTTCGATTTAGTATTAAAATCTTTGAGATTTTAATAGTAACGTTACATAATATGTTCAGTACGTTGAAGTCACGCTAATATAGATTCTTTTCTCTTACACAGTTGTTCCGATTAATTCATATTTATATCTTCCTGTTATTTTTACTAACTTCCGCAGCTCCTTCCTTCACATAATTTATATTTTTTATTTGAAATTTGCTTCGAAATGAACTTTGCCTTGATTTTCTCGTACAACCGATTAATTCCTTTCGCTGCTGACATCGGTTCGTAAAAAGCAAAAAGTCACAGAGTTTTGATATCCGAGATTCGCTCAATTTC